CAGCTGACGCAGACAGCAACAGGCGGTCCGACGGGGTATCCTGCAATGTCAGGCCAAATGAATCCAATGATGAACTCGTCACAGGGAAATGTGGCATATGGACCAGCTTCATCTCAGGCACAGATAAAGCCACCACAACAGTCGACTCCCTCGCCCCATCCAGGTGCACCCCATGCTGGAGCACACCAGCCTTCGGTTCATCAGCCACAGCCGCAACAAATAGCATCTTATCCATCATCGATAGCACCCGGCCAGCCTCATAGTCCACAGATGGCAGTACCACATTCGGCGGGAAGTTCACCTATAGGTGGCCAACCCACCTATGCACCACCGCCGGTAACACCTACTACCGTACCTCAAGGGAAACCATTTAATTCTGCGCAGGCAAATGCCGCCCTCAAGGTTGCAGGTAAAGGAGTGAGTAAATGGGCGAAGAAAATGTGGAATAATAATACCGTTAAGCAAACCGCGGCTGCCGTTGGCGGTGCTGTTCGTAAGTACTATCAACTTGTTTTCTACTACTTGACGTTGTGCCAACACCAGGAGCAAGAACTCTCATTCCGTCAATCTTGTATACTAGCTGTTCCGTATGGTTCCAGCGCTCCCGTAAGCTTTGGTTTAAGGAGGGATTGCTGACGTTGAATGTTTAGTGGCCGAGTCCGTAGGGATGAATGCCGGTGTTGGTGCTCAGCTTGCGGGCAATCTCTATGGGAGTGCAAATCGTCCGCCATTAACTCATGCTCAGACAGCACCTCCACAGGCTCATGGTATACCAGGTGTCGCTCCCCAGCATCAGCCCGTGCAAATAGGCCAACAGCAGCAGCAGCAGCCAGTGAAAATACAGCCGCTACAGTCGCAACAACATCAACAACCAGGAAAGCCTCAACCCGGGTACACACACCCAAACCCATATCAACGACCACCACACTCTCAACCCACATACCAACCAGTTGGGATTCAAACACCAGGCCGGCCTCCTGTTGTTTATAATCAGAACCCCGCCTTAGCCCAGCAGCTTGCAGCTGTAAATATTCATGCTCAAGCCCAGGCGCAAGCTGGTATAGCCCAAGCGCAAGCTAATCTTTATCAGCAACAACAATATCCTATAGTAAGGCCATTTATGGTCAATAATATGCCGCCACCTGCAATGATTAACCCAATGGCTCCTAATGCTCAACCCCAAGAGCAGCCCATCATTGACGCCAATACCGCCGCCACTGCTGCCGTGATGATTGGCTCTGCTGTTGGAGCCGCTCTTCGTCCCAATAATTCCCAGCCACAACATGCATATGGTAACACTCAGGGATATGCTCCCCAGGACCACGCACCACACGCTGGATCAAATGGTGCCGAAAATCATGGATATCCCGCTGGAAACCACGCGGGGGGTTATGAACAGCCACATGATTCGTCTATTCCACCCCAGGCACCCACAACATACACAGACAACAATTACACGGCAACTGACACAACCTATGTCGACAACTCAACTTATTCCGCGAACAATGTCTACATCGATAATACGGACGTCGTAAACAATACAATCATAATTGATAATTCAACAGCCAGCGCCGTAGATACGACATACAGTGACACAAGCTACGTCGATGCCACGTCGTTCAACAATACGGAGATCACTACTAACGTGAATATTGATGTCGATATCAACTCAACAGTCTATGCTGATAGTGGTGTGGCGGCATTTAGCGTGGATGAGAGTCTCAATATAGCGTCAACGACTGATGTCACAGTGGCGTCAGCAGATTATTCCGGTAATAGTTGGGGAGACTTCAGCTTTTGATAATAAATCCCCAGCTCATCGAAACAGGAAGAAGTATCCGAGGAAATACATCTCGAGTAGGAGGGACCTCAAGTCAGAGTAGGCCCTGCGTCACTGTTTTAAAGCTCCAAAGGGAAACCACTCTGTTACCGGAGTACCGGCCGTAATAATTCTTGTATATAGATTGCCATGATGCTAGTGTTCCAAGTGGTATGAGAGGTATGAGTTATGAAGTCCGTATTGTTTAATGTACGTAGACTATTTAGATCAAAATACGACAAGTGGTCTGGTGACTAATGCCCGATATTTTCCGCTTCTAGTAGGTTCCCTAGTATATACCATATATATGCGTGTACCTTACCTGGGTACCTAGTTCAAGTTATAAGTTGTACCAGGTGGTGCGTGTGCTTATACGGGTAGCGATTAATCCGTATCATATTGATGTGCCTAAGTAGGTACCCAAACATATAATTTATAACACCTGTGTAGCCCTTTAACAGACGTTCCCCTCCCACCTCGAAGTGGCCGAGTGGTAAAGTAGTCGGCAGGAACAATGCTTGTGCCAGAGGCAGGGCCATAGGCAGCAAGCATTTTCCGGTCAAGGGATGTTGAGCCTGTCTTAAGCCCTCGATTCTTTTTTATTTGCTACGTTCTCCCTCCATCACTATATATCGGTATCTACAGATGTAATCTAAGGAAGTGAGCTTATAGCTACGTGATTTTGGTCACGCCGAATTTGAGATATCACCTGAAGCTCCGTATCTGATTCAAGGATGCTTTTCTATTTGCATAGATTGACCGACCTGTCTCAAGTATCTAGACGGAGAAGGGTAATTTCTTTTAAGGCATGAACGACCACGTAAGTCACAGTACCAATCATGATTTATTGAGGATAACTATAAATACCTGATATTGAAGAACAATCACGTCTGGTGTTCGGTACTGCGCAAGCCCCCGGCGTCCTTCTTTTTTTCTCTTTTTTCTTCTTCGTGCCCTTCCGAATTCCCAGATTGCTTTGTCCCAAGACAATTCCTGGGTATCACGGTATCAGTGACAGTACTTTGGCAGTGCACCCGCCGTCTTAGCGCCCACACAGGCTACCCCAACTTCAACTTCCAACTGTTTCTTAAATATATTGTACGACTCCGTCGTGTGTATAGCCTCAATGATTCCCAAGATTAACACCGCGAGAGTAGTAAGGATAGTCAACCAGAATGTCGCCCGCCCTATGAAGTCTCGCCCATTCTTTTGTGAGAAAAGTTGATATAAGCCCCTGGGTGAGTCATCCAAGATTCTCCTCAACTCACTGACCCTGCCACGCCAAGAGCCATACCCAGACAGCTTCAAGCACCTCTTGCGACCGCAATATCCCAGCTTATAGAAGGTTCTGTCTTTGTTGGCCTCCAGAAACCTTCTAGTTTTCTTCCGATCAGGCGGGAAGAGTAGAAAGAAAGTGTCAATGGCCCCATCGATGGTATCCTTTGGTAGAGGCAACGCAGAGAAGCGGGAGTGGTTCCAGAGGCAGATTAAATGCTCATAAACCTTGATTTGCCGATGCGTGCTGTTGATATCTAGGTGTTGCCTAAGATCGTTCGTCCACAGTACCTTGTACTTGTAGCGAGTGCATAAATAATGCATCGTCAAGTAGGAAGGTATATTGTCGTCCTCTGTACTATTTATGTCATCAGACGCCGAAGCCGAACCAAATGCTGCCCCTACAGCCTCACCAAGGGTCATGGTGCTGTCCCAAGTCATGCGACCGAATTTATAGTCGCTATCGACTGGAGTTCCCAGCAAGAACGTGGCGGCAAGTTCAACAGTTCGAGAAACGACATCATCGGCAACGCAAGATGAACTCTCGGAAATTAGATTGCCTTTGCTGAGGGTTGGCTGCTCTTGCAAGCGCTGCATGTACTCGCCGATCTCGCCTCGTGTATGGTCCAAGTGGGCTGGAGCAAGATCATTGGACTTCTCGGATTTTTCCTTCAGATATTGATCAATAAATTCGAAAAAGAATTTGTAGTTGACACTGGCGAAATCGCCCTCTGGTAGTTTAGGCCAGATGCTCTGAACGAATCTGAATTGTTCCTCCCGAGAACGAGGAGTAGCGACAGCGCGATTGGAATTGCAGTCATTGTCTAACCGGGACTGTCTGAGACGAGCTTATGAGCAACGAAGTTCACCTAGTGTAAAAGCTTTGGAAAGCTTAATTATGGAAAGAAAAATAATGAGAAAACATGAGGGGTCTCTACTGATTCCAGAGCCTGATGCAACACCAAGCAAGCACTTTTCTACTGGTTCTGGTCTTTGTTCAACTGGTTTCGATTATACAAGGATGCTTCAACTAATGCGATGACCTAGCTGATCAGTCACAACGCTCTGTATATAGTTTCCGGGATTCGCTCTCGCCAACTGAGCTGTTACACTCGCCAAGTGTTTGATCCAGAGCATGATCACAGCCTATGTTCGATTCCCGGCTTTAAGATCACGTACAGGGTTTGAAGGCGCTAAAAGACTTGAAGCGGTCTAACCAACTGCACCAAGGGCCTGCGCCGGAGGGCCACCTGACCGACCAACCGCGCGTGAGGCTATCGCCAAACAAAGAATTGCCTAAGACGGCAGCAACAAAAAGTGCGGCAGCGCAGAGGGCGCGCCAGTAGAAGTACCAGTCAAGTCGAGAAATCCGAGAAATCCGAGAGATCCACATACGAGAGCCATGGCGGCTGTTGCCAAAGCCACAAGACGATCAGAACCACCCCGAGCCCTGATTCGAGCAGTACAGCGATTTTAACAAATAGCAACAACCTAGTTGCCCGCCGAGTTGAAGAGCTATCAGTCCTGGGCGCAGATGTACGCGTGAAAAAAAATGAGACAGAAAAAAAGAGGGAACTTCAGAGAGCTGCCAATAGATAAACTATACCTCAGGACAGAGTACCACACCGCGCGCAAACGTTCCAAGCGTAGTTCACATCTATTTCCATACTATGTAGTACCTAATCTAGGTAAGGGGAGATTCGTAATGTAGAACAATAAATTATAGGTAATTTGATAGGTACTTAAGTACTTATAGGTATTTAATTAGGTAGACCTCCAGGCTGTCTACTTAAGTAGTACCTGGGGAAATGGTTTGGTACAGTACATATAGTTACCTAGGTACTTACCTAGGAGGTAGGTTAGGTATATATACCTCTGATTTCCAGGTTCAGCTAGTATAAACAAATCCAGAGTGGTGTAGTGGGAACACGTCTAGCTGACAGTTAAGTTCTAAGGCCTTAACCCCTATGGGGGCAGGGGTCTTAGGTTCGATCCCTGACTCTGGGATCGCGGTGGTCCCAAGGCGCTAGCGTGCCAAGAGTACCACCAGCTTCCTTTTACTGGGCAGCAACTACAGTAGATATCCCTTAGAAAACAGTTGTGTTAAGTGAAACTACAACTGCGAGTAATTATCCTGCAGGTTTCATTTAATAGGTCAGTGAATTTATATATAGATAGATAGATACTATCAAGTTGTGCAAAGTAATTAAGCCTATGTATGCAGCAGCATCATCATTGCCAATTCTCATCAAACCCAACACTAAAGCATAGATAGATCAACGGGGGTCGGCCTCAAACAAGTGCATAGCGGGTGGTGGTGCACCGCCCTGTCGGTCATCGATGGATGATGATGATGGTATGAAGGACTCCATTTTCGGGTGCCGAAAACTCCAGTCTTGGAGGCTTCCATACCAACCAACTCCTCAACATTTGTATGCAACATCAAGTAATTTTCTGCTGGTTATGTCTGGTCGTTTGTTCGACTAGTCTTGATTAGGTATACAGGGATCCTTCAACTTAATGATACTATACAAGCAAGGCACTACAGCAATAATCTAGCCGATCAGTTACAACGAACGCTCTGTGGTTTCCGGGGCTCGCTCTCGATAATTGAGCTGTTGGATTCGTCACGTGTTTGATCTAAAGCATGGTCACAACCATAGACGACCAACTGAAGGCCTCTCTTGCATATTCCCAGCATCCTAGAGTTAGAATCAGGAAATTATGACCGAAATATTCAGCAATTAATACAATGGAATACTGTTGTTGCTGTTTATTTATTTATTTTTGGCACAACAGCCTTCCGCTACCCACGATGATTGCCACAGCCATGGACGGGACGAATGAGCTATCGTTATCATGCCTGACCTACTAAACATTTCTATGATAAACGAAGTCGAACCTTACTTAAACCACACCTAGGCCGAGGAAATATAATCCTCGTGTGTTGAGCTCTGAGGAAACCATCAGAACCTTAATATCGAGCGGCGAAACCTCCCTTGATGGGGATCTGGATCGGTTACGACTGATCTTTCAGGGTTGTTTTCGGTCTTACATGTAGTGTCTCTGACTATGGCTTGTAGTCCTCAAACACTTCTGGAATAATCGATCCGAAGAAACATAGAAGAAAAATATAATGACTATTGATAACCGAAGAAGATGGTGGAACATCGTATGATTCGCATTTTGGGTATCTGGACAGTATATATATATAGTCTTCATAATCCCACGTACCTGGGTATTTTTGATGGCAAGCTCTTCTCCACCCACCGGGCTAGTGAATATATGCTACGAAATATATTTGATTCGACCTTGAAGACCCAACAACACAACTGCGTTAAACACATGAACTTGGATATTCGGAAACATGGCAGATTCGTATTCGCCAAGTAGTTCTAACGACAGTCTAACAATGTCAGATGACGGAGGACAGCCCAGGGTTGAATTTACTCTCGATGATCCCAGCATCATGCGCGCAGCAAGGGACAAAACCCTCTACTGGTCGACGGTACACAAAGAACTAACCCACCCTGACTTATTTACGCGAGCCGACAAGACTAGAAGCCGCCTCATCCCGGATATCGAGAGTATTTTTAACGAATTATCCGAGTCTAAGATACGGAAAATAAGGCACATATCCCGAACGCTATCTGATCCGGAGCCTGTTGAACGCCTCAAGCTCCGTTTGGCAGGGCGCTCCCACGGAGAAAATCACATAACCATGGAAGACTCGGTCTGGATACGATGCAGAGACCGCATTTCAGCAGAGAAAATCGAGGCCAAGGTTGGGGGAATCGAATGGTTGGAATCTACTGAATACTCGCCCGTTTACGTGTATATTGAGTGACATACGGGCCCCGATAGGTCTACTATCATGGTCGCAATCCTCAAGTCGTCTTCTAAGAGATTATGAGAGACGAATTATACAAAACCTGTTTTTGGACATCAAATCACGAGGGCATTGGTTGCGGATTAGATGGCATGAATTTATTTAGATGGTTATTCATCACGAAGACGATCTGAGATCTACTACAACGTTACACCGCTCTTCTCGTAATTGGGCTGCTAGAGGATATAAAAGCACTGCCACTTGTTGTTACATCTGGATTCTTGGGTGAGTGATTGTATCGTATCTATAAAACAATGCGTCCTATCCCTAGCCAAGGCGGCCGGCATGGGACCTAGGACTTCGCCGCCCTACGAGGCTAGATGACGTGAGATGCGAGTGGTTGATTGCTGAGAAGCAAATAGTCCAATAGACCAATTATACGCCGACGTACTGCGTATGTGCCCAATTGCGAGCGTCGCGCGGACCAATAGCTTTGTGAATACGATGTAGCTCACTCACTCTTCAGGTGATTCGATGCCGTCGTTTGCCTGGCTCGTAATGCTATAATTAGACCTCGTACGCAAAAGCTAAACGAGCCCAGCCGGATACGCTGCGATTGAAGTTCAGCAACGACTCGGGCGTGCTGACAGACGTCATCAACAGAGCCGCATTGACAATCGAACAGCAACTGGCTACTCGGCTCTTTCGCGATGTCGAGCTTCGTAGAAATCTCCGCACCCAGCTGAAAGCGAGTGTCAAAGCAAGTGTCAAAAGCGAAGTGTCAAAGAAAGCAAGGGTATAAGCAGAATCTTTCTGTATTGTATTGCCCTGCTCGTCACGCCGCATTCAGCTGACTTACGTCGATTACCTCCCCCTGTCCAATCATGGTATTTATTATCGCATGTCGTAACGTGTCACAATCTTTCAGGCGGTGAGTTGAATTGAAAGAACTCAAATCTCTTGTCTCGACGTTACGCATGTTAATTACTCTATGATATGGCGAAGGATACCACGTGGGGATGTTTAAGTTTCGTGATGGATTCAAGTCATTGGACGACGTTAAACACAACGGTTGGCGCCCTAAGGAAACCGCCAAAGAACACCCCTGCACAGGACCCCCGGGTGCTGCGCTGTCATCGCGCTTCTTTGCTGCTTCTGTCCGTGCTGTCGGGACCGCGCGGCATCAGCGGGTGTCGATCACTTCGTATTCCCAATTTTTCTTAGTCGGGCTTTGTTGAGAAAATTGCATGATGACTACGAGCTACGTCAACGTCCACGGTAAGAGCATAGATCAGCTCCCCAGCTGTGTGTATGTGGTACGACCGGCATTGCTTTCACGAGCTGAGCTGAGATTTGGTTTGTATCGTCATCAGTAATAATATAAATACATCTAGTCACCTCGTCGCATCCTATTAGCACTACTGCACACATACACACATGTTCAATTCTCACAAGTAGACATAATCCGTCCCCTAATACTATCCCTACACTTCACACAACTATAGGCATCAAAATCGTCACCGCCCGCCGTCAAAATGGTCTCTATCAAGTCTCTTGCAGCTGCCGCCTTGACCGGCCTTGCCTCCGCATCACCCATGATCAGCTCACTCAGCACGCCATCGACGGCAGTCGCCGGCCAGACCATTACGGCGACCCTCAACACATCCATCTACATCCAGAACTGGGAGGACTTCAGCATCATCTGGGGATTGGCTCCCCCCAATGTCGGGGGTCAGGGTCCGGATGGCGAGATCTACGTCGGTACACAGATCGGATACACGAATCTGTACGGAGCCAACATCGAGAAGCTCAACAGCTTCACTGTTGACGTCACTATTCCTAAGAGCCAACCTGGAGGAAATTGGCGGCTTCTCGCCGCTGTGCCTTACCTCGTCGGTGTAGGTGCTACATCAGCTATCCGCTCCTTATTAATACTGACATATGAAAATATAGGCTTCTGGCTTGGTTGATCTTCACTTTTTTAACACTACAATCGAGGTTACCGCATGAAGGACTAGCGCCTTAACAAGATGTATGCAAGACACTCGTACCGTGGTTTCCGGCACACTGAATAACGTGATGTACGATGAATTCTTTAGCATGTGGTCGGCGTTTGTGGTGAGCACTCGTCAAAAGGGGATATCGGCGTGGTGAATCGCTGGTGTAGACATTGATAACTACCTACTTTAGTGATGCTGGGATTAATAGAATTTATTCGCAAGGACCATTTAACTCGCTACCGCATTAGTGTGCCACGTAAGCCATAATGTCTAACTACCCTAACTAAAGGAAAGCCTCTTCAAAATTAATGAGTGCAGGAACCGTCGCTATGTATATGGATAACGATGAGATTTGATATTATTCGATTAAGCATTTTGAAGTGGCTTCCAGTGTTGGGAATCACCACCTGCAACAACACCATCTACGCTGTTTGTTATCGGACTCTTCGAGCTGCTCAGGCTCTCGAACTTCGGGTCGTTCAGATGCGCGGCTAGAGAAGTCTGGGTCGGACAGTGAATGAGGATTGTATTCCGGGGGTGATCTGGAAGAGAAAGTGGTAGCACTTTTAAGATGTCGTTTAAGGGAGGAAGCGGCAGCGTAGGTTGTGGCCGAAGGACCGGAGCCACGACCGGCAGAAGAGGCAGAATTAGATGCCAACAAAGCAGCGTGTTCTTGGGCTTTGTGCTCGTGTTTAAGCTGGAGTTCCCGAAGCCGAAGCTTGAATTGAAGCTCGACTTGTTCCAATTGATACCCAAATTGAAATCTTGCCTTCTCGATTCGTTCAGTAAGCCGTAGTATATGTCTTTGTGTAAGCAAGCGCCGTGTTCGATAAAACTTGAGATATTCCACCCTCTTAGCCACTCTCTCGAAAATCTATTTAGGCTTATAGTCAGACAAATGGAACAACAAGAAAGAAAAATTTAAGTTTTCTACACTAGACGATGATGAGGGATAACGTACGGTGGGACTATAAATCGGTTCGTCCCCAAAATCCCCGAAACCACTAGAAAGGTCGCTAGAATGTTCGCTAGAATGTTCGCTGCATTCCTTGGCGTCAGGTTGCAGTGGAACATAATATAGGGGATGAGTAGAATATTCGTTGAAAGGTTCGATAGGTTCTTCCACGAGGGGAGGCAATGGAGGACCGGTATTTTCGGTTTGTTCGTTTTCGGGCTCT